CCTTATCTCACATTACTTTTCTCCATGCATATTACACTTCAAATAGATTATACTATCTTTCATCTCTTCAATATGCCCTGTTCTTTTCAGACTCCTTTTCTTTACTGACATATTCTTTATGCCCAAATGTCTGTCTTCTCCATTGTTGCGTGCTGAATTCCTAATCATTTTTTAACAGTCAAATGCCACTTTTTCCATGAAACCTTGCATCCTGCTGGTCAGGAAAGCTTCTTCTCTACCCTTGTTCTTCACAGAATGCAATGTTTTGTATTTCTCTAATTCAATTATCATGTATAATTATGTGTAATTATCTGTGTTTACGTAATTTCCCAGCTAGACCAAATGCCTTAAAGGCAAATGATTGTCTAATCCAAAGTTTTTTCTGCCCCAGTACCAAGCACAGTGCTCTAAGTCAAATCATCAAGCATTTATCATGGGCGACTATGTGCTAGACACTGTGCTAACTGTTGGGGATTTTTTTTTAAAAAGGCAAAAAAATCCCTATTCTCAAGGACCTTATAGTTTAATGGAGGAGATAACATGTAATCATCTGTGTCCAAATAGAATATGTATATGTATGTATGTATGTATGTATGTATGTATGTATGTATGTATACATATGTGTGTGTGTTAGAGATAATCTCAGAGAGAAGGCCCTAGCATTAAGGGGGATCAGAAAAGTTTCTTGCAGAAGATGAGATTTCAGCTGAGACTTGTAAGAAACCATGGGGCAGCGATGTGGAGGCAGAGATTTCCAAGGCATGAGGGCAGCTAATGAAAATATATGGTTGGAAGATGGGAAATCTTGTGTGAGGAACATCAAGAAAGTATGTGAAGGGAGTAAGATGTAAGAAGCCTGGGAAAGGAGAAGGGGAACAGATTATAGAGAACTTGGAATTCTGAGCAGTGGATCCTAGAGGCGATAAGGAGCCACTGGACTGTTCTGAATGGCGATTGGGTGTCAGTGATCAGACCTGTGCTGTAGGAAGATTAATTTGACAGCTGACTGGAGGATAGTCTAGAATTGAGAGAGACTTAAGGCAGGAAGACCAATCAATAGGGTATTACAGTAGTTTGGAAATGAAGTGATGAGGACCTAAGCCAGGCTGATAGTACTGTCAGAAGAGAGGAGAACAAATTGCCTGTGATATAACAAATTAACCAAAAAAAGTAATAAATTGCCTGAGATATTGCAAAGGTAGAATCTGAAGGACTTGGCAACAGAATGGAAATTGGGGGATAGGGGGTGAATGTGAATGAAGAGTATAGAATGACACCTAGATTGTGAATCTGGGTGACTGGAAGGATGAAGGTACTCTCTACAGTGATAGGGAAGTTAGGAGGAGGACAAAGTTTGAAGAGAGGAGGGATAAAGGGGAAAAGATATGTTGAATTTAATATGTCTATTGGACATCCAGTTGGAGATATCCAAAAGGCACTTGGAATTGTGAGACTGGAGAGTAGAGAGAGGTTAGGTCGTAGCAGTCAGACAATAGTGGGGAGCTTTAGGAGTCCAGAGAGAGTGCAGTGGAATGTCTGGCCCAGCCACGGATCTTTCCCTTCCAAAGCTGGCAGGGCAAGTAGTGTAGAGCTCTATATACAGTAGGTGCTGTGTATATATTTGTTGAATGAATAAACTAAATGTCCCCTTTTCAATTCAGCAAACATTTATGAAGTATCTGATATAAAGATGAAAAAGACAGTCCTTGTCCTTGAGGAATTTACAGTTTAATGAGGTGGATAAAACATATACACAAATAAGTTTGATGAAATTAAGTAAAAATGACAGACCAGATGTGCCTTTTTTTTTCAAAAGCCATAACTTCTCCAATCATTTCATTTCAGCTCTTACTCTCTAACCACTGCTTTTAGGTTTGAGTTCTTTTTGTAAGTTATTTTATGGACTTTTTTTTAACATCACTATCATTTCTCAAAGTGGCCTCCCATATACACATTCCCAAAAATGTTTTTTCTTATTTACAAAGTGTGATTAAGCAAAAAAAAAAAAAGGCTCTCTGAAAATGAGCTCCTTGGTGACAGAGACTGTTGTTTGACCTTTTTGATATCCCTAGTGCTTAGCATAGTGCCTGACACCTAGTAGGCACTTAAAAATTTTTATTGAATTGATTCTAATTGAATTTACAATTAATCACCTTCTAAGTTTTGATAAATGCTTCATTAAAAAGAATTATGCTGCTTATCTCCAAATAATAAAAAATTAAATTTAAAGAATGTCATTAGTTTCACTGAACTAATATTTGTAAAATAATTCAAGTCTCTTTAAGATAGATGCCAGCATATAAATTAATATCTTAAGATTTCAGGAGTATGGCTCGTTGATTGTTGTCCTTTGTGTTCAAAGAGGACCAAAATTACCTCATTATGTTGGGGTCAAAGTACAAAGTGTCTAACTGTGGCTAATCAGAACAGTATGAGCTCAGAAGGTTCTACCACAGGCAAAGATAGTGCCACAGGCACAGAGAGTCAGGCACAAATAGTCTTTATGAACATTTGGAGAGGAGATGGTTCTAAATTTATGCATCTTACATTTCTTTAGAGCTACTGCATTTCTGCTTTGCTTATAAAGCATGGTGCCTTCTTTGATGTGGGCGTGCTGTGTTGGGTGGTCCTTTGCCAGTGTCTCCCATGTCTCATGTTCTTCAGAGAAACCTTGAGAGTGTACTTGTATCACTTCTTCTGACCTCCATGTGAGCACTTGCTTTGTATGAGTTCTCTATAAAATAATCTTTTAGGCAAACATACATTTGATATTCAAACAATGTGGCCAACCCATTGGCATTGTGTTCTCTGCAGTAGAGGTTTAATGCTTGGCAGTTCAGCTCAAGAAAGCACCTCAGGGTCCAGTACCTTATCTTACCAGGTGATCTTCACAGTCTTCCCAAGACAATTCAAATGGGAATACAGGCATACAGAAATAAGATCAGCACAATGGCTCTGTAGAGTTTCATTTTGGTAGGCAGCCCAATACCTCTTCTCTCTCACACTTTCCTTTCTAGCCTCCCAAACACTTACCTGACTCTGGTGATGCATATATCATCTTTGTGTACATCCCTGGAAAGTATATTGCCAAGGTAAATGAACTTTATCTAGAGTACTAAAAAAAATTTTCCCTTTGCTGTAACAGATGGTTCCAGATACGGATGGTGTGCTGTTGGCTGGTGGAGAACCTCTGTCTTCTTAATGTTAATTGTCAGGCCAAAATTAGCACAAGTAGCAGAGAATCAATCCATACTCTGTTGCATCTCAGCCCCAGAGGCTGCACTGAGTGCGCAATCGTCTGTGAACAAAAAGTTGCACGCCAACCCTCCCTCCATTTTTGCCTTGGCTTATAGCCTTTTCAAGTTAGATAATTTATCACCAGTGCAGTAGCTGATCTTGATACCATTTTTGTCCTCAGTGAGGGTGTCTAACGACAGTGCTGAAAACATCATGCTAAAAAGCATAGGAGTAAGCAAACAGCCCTACTTTACTCCATTGGTGACTGGGAAGGTGTGAGAGCATTGTCCATTATCCAGAACTTGTGCAAGTATGCTGTCATGAAACTGGCATATAATACTGATGAACTTCTCTGATCAATCAAATTTTGCCATGATCTTCCACAAGTCCTCACAACTGACAGTATCAAAGACCTTGGTCAATTCAATGAACATTGTATACAGACCTCTGTTCTGCTCCTGGCATTTCTCCTGGAGTTGTTGGGCAGCAAGCACCATATCAACTGTTTCTTGACCCTTTCTAAAGCCACACTGGCTTTCAGGTAAATGACCATCTTCCAAGTGAAGAATTAACCTATTAAGGAGGACTCTGGCAAGAATCTTGCTGGCAATGACTATGAGAGAGACATCCTCCCATAATTATCTCCACATAACATAGCATTTTAAAGAATGTCATTAGCTTTAATGGGCTAATATTTCTAAAGCAATTTAAATCTCTTTAAGATAAATGCTAGCATTTAAAATAACGTCATAAGATTTCAGGAATATAGCTAGGAATAAGTGAAAAATGCTTTTCAGTGCCAAATATTGACCACAAAATCAATTTACCCTAACTTATAGGAAAATTGGAACCACACGCACCCAGACAATTGTGCAAAAAATAAAACAGATTATAGACAACAGGACTAATAACAAGAAGACATAACAGTTGGCAGCATTGGATAGAAACTATAATATTAAGAAAACAGGCTAAAGAACCATCAAAGTGTAACTGTTTGAGGCCACTTAATATAGAACAAATCCCGAATAATCTAAATGAAATTAAACATTTATAAAATCTTTGCACCAAAAATGATTAATTTTTTTAGGAAATAATTTTAACATTTTGACTTAGGAAAAATGAAGTGAATAAAAAAATTGCCTACTAATCTAGACCATCATATACAGTTTAATGGACAGTCTACTGAGTTAATACATCAGTAGACACATCTAGGACTGGCAATGCAGAAGGACAATAACTTGAGCATTTTAGAGAGTACACCCATACTGATGAAGTCACAAATCTTTTGAAGTGTTGCTGTATGGTCTATCTGGAAAATTCATATTTAAAGAATGCTTTTTTATATGACTATGCTATATCTTTTTGGTGAGGCAATCGGGATCAAGTGATTTGCCCAGGGTCACACAGCTAGTGAGTGTTATGTGTCTGAGGCTGGATTTCAACTCAGGTCCTCCTGACTCCAGGGCTGGTGCTCTATCCATTGTGCCACCTAGCTGCCCCGACTATGCTATATTTATGAAACATCATTATATGATGTTTTAAATGTATGTAAATGTTTTAAAAATATTTGTAAAATTATTTTGATTATCTTTTTTTAAAAAAAGTCTAGAAAAAATCAGGCCAAAATGATAAGATTCTAAGTGATCTTTGTAACTTCTGAAAATGAACTGAGCTACATTAAGTTCTTAGTGTTTTCTCTTTATTAGTAGCTATTTCTTTATAGTTAACCATAACCTATTTAATTTTCTTATAATTTTGAATAGGCAGGAGCAACCTTTTATAAAAAAACTGCACTGGGTCCTTTGCCTCAAGCATTATTTAATGGTGAACCCATTACAAGTGAAGAAATAAATTCCAAAGAATTTGATAAAATCATCCTCCAAAGGATCATGAATACAGCTGAATTCTTGCAAAGGGCAGTTTTTATGGTATGTTTAGAATTTCTGAAGGAACATGAGATAAAGGTGAATTGTTTATTATATTAATAATAATAATAATAAAAGTATTTCATAAATATTTAAAGCTAATGTTCATCTTTAATGATTTAATATTGATTTAAAAGTCAATATATTTTATTTAAGATTTTGTAAGCTACATAGTCATATTTAAGATTGACTTAGTGAAGAAGGAAGAACTCTTCTTATATTTTTATTGAAAATGCTAAGGTCATATATGTGATATATATTCATTAATTTATTTTTTACATGCAATTTTAAAATGCCTATGCTAAACATAATGGTACAAATAATATTTATATGCACTATAGCTATAATGTCTAGTTTTCACTTCTAGGAAATTTCTCATCTGTATATTTAAAGTTACTTAAGTAAGTAAAAATTTTATTACAGGGCTTGTTAAATGATGAGATGGATGTGATAAATTTTCTCATGGATCGAGATAATATAGTACCTCGCATAAATCCTGTTGTTTTGGGAAACAAAAGACAATATCTTAATTTAATATCTACATCAGGTAAATCCATCTGTTAATTTCTTTGTTATTAGCACTCCTTGCCTATGCTGTTATTATGTATTATTTTTACTCATGTTAATATAATATGAAAATTTTCAGTGACGGTTGATATTGAAGATTTCTCTACTTTCTCCTTCTTGGATTCGCAAGACAAGAGTGCCACAATTGCAGAGAACATGTATTATTTATCCAGAAAAGGTAATATATTTGTGTTAAACGTTATAATAACACCAAAAAATGTAACTTTTCTGAAAGGAATTTTTGTAACAAACACATTTTTATCTTGGATATTTTGACTGGAGAGTCTTGGCTTTATTGAAAGTTTTAAGTATTAACTCAGGTCAATAAAAGCTCTGAAGCTTTTCTGTAAAGCCAAAACAATAACCTCTTTCTTCCTACCATACCTTGGTAATGAGTGTTAATGGAGCTTTTTATCAATAAGTGGCATCTTTTTCCATTTAAAATTTTTCTTTTAAAACTTATCTTATCCATAGAATTTGAGAGTAAGGATAACCAGTGGACAGTCTAGGTGCTTAATTGGTATTCTTGTGGTATCAAGAGAATTAAAGGAAGACTCCCCTAGATATTAGGTTCCCTTTACCCCTACTCAATAAATTTCTGAGAGGAGAAAAAAGAGAGTCACACAGAATAGACAAACAATGATGGGGTTTTATCTCCTTCATTGGATAATTCACATCAAATGAGATCACAAATCTCATTCTAAAATATTACCAAACCTAGATCACGGAACGTAGTTTCCCCACTGTACTATGCATTAGTCAGATGACATTTGGAGTTTTGTGTTTAAGTTTGCTTGCTACATTTTAAAAAGAATCTTGACCAACTAGAGTCTATCTAGAGAAGGGCAAACAAGATAGTTAAAATTCTGAAAACCGTGATACTTGAAGAACATTTTTTAAAAATGGTAAAACCTTGGGAATAGAAGACTAAGGCTGAGAACATGGTAGCTATCTTCAAATATCTAAGGACTATCATGTGGAAGAGGAATTTAACTTCAGAGCACAGAACTAAATCCAGTAGGTGGAAATTACAGGAAGAGAGAAAAAGATGCTTTTGTCAATTCTTTCCTTATTTGCACTGCACTGAAGTCTTTTAGCCTTACCAGTGCCCATAGTTATGTGATCTCATCCTAATTCCCCATATGGGTAGGACACCCATATAAAATTTCTCTAGATATCTGTCCTCTGCTCTTAAGAGGCACCTTTTTGTATGTAGCAAAGATTTTAGGTAAGGAAGGCAGAGAGATGTCTCTCCTTTTTGTCTCCCCCATCTGTGTTGGTTAAATCTCACCTAGGTAATTGGAATTATGACTAGTGTGGGCATGGAGGGAAGTAAGTACTCAGGGTAGTATTCATAGTTTGTATAGGGACAGTATTTGATGTTGAGTGAATGGTAGTGTTGTGTACATATGTAGAACAATAGATAGGGTAATTAAAAGGATCACTACCCTATTAAGCTTGTAGGGTTTCCATTCTGTTTAGCTGTAAATGTGTAATAGTCTCCTTTAGATAAGTGAATCTTAACTTGAAAGGTAGAGAAGAGTTTCTTCTAAAAATGAAATGTAGATTTTCCCCTTGGTATAAAATGATGTACTTGGGGAGTTCATTAAATTAGGAGACATCATTTCCAACAATTTTATTAATTTGGCTCTTATTAAGGGCCCTATTTTCACAGGAAGCCACAGAATATTTCAGTAAATAGGTACACGACTACTGACAGAGTACTTTAATGATGTGAGTATCTTGGGGATAAAAGTCCTTGTTAATGATAGGCTACAAACTTGGGTGTGAGGAAAGGATTGAAAGAGGCATTTAGATTTCTTGGAATTATGTTAAGAAAGTTATTTAAATGGTCATACCCTTTGACCAAGAGATTGCCCTGCTAGCTGGTTGCAGAACTCAAAGACAGAAAGACCCCCATATATACTAAAATATCTATATCAGTAATTTTTGTAGTAACAGAGAATTGGAAATATAGATACCTGTCAATCGTGACTGGTCCAACTAAATTTGGAACATAAATATAATGAAATATGACTATACCTTAAAATGAGAAATATAAAAAATATGGAGAAACATAGGAAGACTTAAAAGAGTTGATGAAAAGTTGAAGTAAGAAGAACCAGGAAAACTATTTACACAATGCTACAACAGTATAAATAAAAGGAACAAAAAAATTGTAGAACTAAACTCTGTGTAATTATAATGACAAAGCTTGGGTCCTGGAGAGACAAAAAAAAAATACACCTTTCTTCATCACAGAAGTGAGAAGGACTGTAGTTGTGGAATATTGCATATAATGCCAGATAGATTGATGTTTTGATTAGTTTTGCTGAACTGCTTTTGTTTCTCTTTGTTTCATGTTATTTCTCTGTAGGTAAGGGAGGAGGAAGATAGATAGACAGACAGACAGACAGATAGATAGATAGATAGATGATGGATGGATGGATGTGTGGATAGATATATGGACAAAAGATGATATAAAAACAAAAGATATCAATTTTTAAAATAAGACTGTATAATAAAGAGATGAAATCTAAAAAGTATAGTCGTAAAGAATGTTAGGGAAAGCATTTGAAGGAAGCACTATCATCTTGGGAAGTTACTGCAGACCACCTTGGCAGAAATGAAATAGATGATACATTTAGGAAACGGGTTACAAGCCTGGTACAAAGGCATGATATTAAAGTGGTGGGAGACTTCAGTCATCAAGACATTCACTATTACTCTTTCTGCCAGAAAGAGAGTTAGAGCAGCTAATTATTTCTCAACTTGTCATGATAATAATTTCATCTTTCGAAAGGTAGAAAAATCAACAAGGGGAAGTTCTTTACTGGCTCTGCTTCTTATCAATTGTGATAAACTGGTATGTGGGGTGAAAGCTATGACAATCTTGTAGACAAGCGCCTATTTAATCTCAGATTTTGTAATAGAGAAGTGGAGGAAAACTAGATATATAATCTGACACACCTCCTAGGCTTAGGGAGAGCAATTTAAAAAGCATCCATAGAAAAGATAGCTAGTATCCTGCGGCCTAATATTCTACTAGAGAAGTCAGCCCAGGATGGATGGCACATTCTGAGTACACAAAAGAACCAAATTCAGTAAATAGGGAAATGGGGAGTTAATTATCTAAAAGATCGGTATGGGTACACAGGAAACGTATCAATGAAAGAAAAGCTAACTCAGATTCCAGAAAGTTGCATTCATAACAAAGTAACAAAGGCCATCAGTGGAGGATGAATATAAAAACATAGCATATATAAGTAGTTTGTTCAAAGGAATTCAAAGTCAAAGGAGAAGACATTCTTAAGAAAAAAGTGAGGAGGACAAAAATTCAGAATGAGCTGAAGCTAGTAAGAGAAGGGAGGATTTTATGCATATTGGTAACAAAAGGGAAAGATCAAAGAAGGACTGGGACTGCTACTAATTTATTCTTTTTTTTTGCAATTGGAGTTAAGTGACTTGCCCAGGGTCACACAGCTAGTAAGTGGCAAGTGTTTGGTCTGAGGCCGGATTTGAACTCAGGTCCTCCTGACTTCAGGGCCAGTGCTCTATCCACTGCACTACCTAGCTGCCCCCTACTAATTTATTCTTTAAGTCTCTGGGTATACAATTAGCCTTCCCATGACAGATTCTTCCCTCCTCCCCAATCCCTTAAAAACCCTGTAATAATGATGTCCTTGTTGCTCTACAAATCAAGTTGGGAGCAAGACTAAGATGGTCCAACTGGTATTGGTGGCTGTTCTCTACTTATAAATAGAAACCAAAATCACTATGCTCCCTACTTTGCCATATAAAACATGGGTTGGAATAGATAACTTTAAGATCCCTCTTAGCTCCAAATCTCAGGCTTCTAGCCCCCAAAAATGCTCTTTAATAAATGGATTAACCTCCATTTACAGCTTATATGAATGGAATGGCTATGTAGCAACCCAGGAGAGGCTGTTTATTTGGGGGATATAGTGATGGAGTCAGAGAAGTACGGTATTCCTTCAAAAGATATTTGCCCAGGTCACAATAAATTGTGCCAAGAATCGAATATGACCTAAAAGGCAGAGGTTTTTTCCACCCTTCATTTACTTAGACTCTGTGAAAGGAAGTCATACTGGATTAATACTGGACATGTTCTAAAGTATATTTAAAGTAAATTAATTATTGTCTGGCATTATTAAGCTTATGGGACCTCAGGACATAAAGAATAAGAAATTTAATTATAAATCCAAGAAATTATCAGAAAAAAATCAATTAATACTGTTTATGCTAAGGTAATTAGTCACAGGTCCCTCAATAGAACTTAGAAAACAATTGCACAATTGAGAAAATTGTTGTTCTTTCCTATTCAACATTAAAAGTTATATTCCTTAGGGACAATTAGGTGGCACAGTGGATAGAGCACCATCCCTGGAGTCAGGAGGACCTGAGTTTAAATATGGCCATAGACACTTACCCTGTGACCCTGGGCAAGTCATTTAACACCATTGCCTAGCCAAAAAAAAAAAAGTTATGTTCCTTTCTTTAGTACTAAATTCTACTTTGCTGTATTCCTTTCAAAAAGATGTTATGCCATTTATGGCAAAATTTTGTTGAGCCAAAAATTTTGTTGAGCCATACATCCTAGCTTCAAGACAGGATAAATCTATTGCAAAATATATTCAAAGATAAAATATTATTTAAAAGCTAGCTAAATATTGTTTCACTACATATGGTATTGAGAAGTTTTGGTTGTTGTGCTGTCATATAGATATGCAAGAAATATCTGGATTTTGGCTAAATAAGAAAGCCTAGTGGAAGGCAATTTAGTTTGATAGCCACTACAATCATGTGATAAGCCCGATATGAAAATGTTCATCATTACTAAAAGCATATTACTGATATTTCCTTAGAAATTGAGTCTCTTTTGGTATCTGGGTTTATTTCATCATAAATCTTGTGAAATGGATAGTTGTTATAAAAATTAGCATACATAAAAATTTTTAAAGCAAAAATCACTTGTTTTATACCTGAGCTTCGTTTAAAAATTCAGCAAATATAGAATCATTTTTTCTAATCACATTATCTGGAAAATATCACCTACTTTAAATTTTAATTTGGAAGTGTTTTTACTAGTTTATTTTTAACTTTCAGATAAAGATGTAATTTCTGCAGTCACCATTTGGGTTATTGCTGATTTCGACAAGCCATCTGGGAGAAAACTACTTTTAAATGCTTTGAAACACATGGTGAGTTTCAAGATATCCACAGTATAAAATTTTTAGTGTGTTTCAACTAACACAAAACACATATGCTTTGTTCTTTATTTTTTAACATTTTAGGATGTAAATTTAATTGATTTGAGCATAGTTCTAAAAAGACTAAAGTAAGACTAAAGCAGCATGGCTTCATCCAAAACAGATCATGTCAGATTAAGCTCATTTCTTTTTTTAACATGGGAACCACAATGGTAGGTTGAGGGAATGCTATAAGCATAATATACCTAGATTTCAGGAAACCATTGTTAAAAAATAATTCATGTTCATCTTGTGAAGAAGATGGTGCGATATAGGCTAGATTAAGGTGGATTTAGGTAGTATACTTGGGTGGATTTGGAACTGGTGGCCTGAACTCAGTATCATTATCAACTAGAAGGGATGTTTCTCTTAACTTGAGGTATCTGAGGTATATTCAGGGTTGTAGTTTTTTTTTTTAATCAATAGTGTTCTTGTCATATTTGTAGATGTTATAAAGCCAGGAGGAATAAGTGATAACATTAGATTACAAACAGAGATAGGAGCCAAAAAGATTGTGACAGGCCAGAAGGATAGACCAAAGCTAATAACATTAAATTGAATAGGGATGAAGGCAAAGCTCTACACTTGGGTTTAAAAAAAAAACAAAATGCTTTACATGTATAGGATTTGAAGAAGTACACAGAATACTATTATCAGTTCAGGGTACTAAATTTTAGAAAGTACATTCACAAATTGAAGCCCATGCAGAAGAGGGTGATTAGAACTGTGAAAGGAATATAGATATTGGTATATGACAAGCAATTAAAGAAACTGGAAAGTTTAGCCTAGAAAAGACTGAAGGTATAATATGGTAGTTATTGAAAAGCTATAACACGTCACTAACATAGTAATGTGTTTTGTATAATTGCACATGTATAATATATAACAAATTGCTAGCCTCCTCAAGAATGGAAGAGGGAGGCAGAGAATTTGGAACTCAAATTTTTTAAAAAATGAATTTTGAAATTATTTTTACATGTAATTGAGAGATAATAAAATATTAAATTGAAAAAAATAAATGCTTGTTGACTGAAAAAAATCACTAGTTTATTATACTCATACAATGTAAGACATTAAAATATTTCTCTCTGAATTTTTGCTTATATTGACATGAATTAACATATTGTTTTTGAAGTATAAATAAATACGCTCCTGGTGTTTAGAGATTATATTTAGTGTCAAACCATCTCAGAGAACATGTAGATAATTCTTAATGATCTACAGGCCTATGCTTTGGGGGGAAAAAAGCAAAGATCAGGGAAATGTATAGTCTACTACAAAAATTAAATTTCTGTTCAGACTTCACTGGAAACTCATGATAATTTGCCATCTGAGAAACTAGCTATATGCTCTTTCTACAGTATGACAAAAACATTCACAATAGATGAATGATCTTTTGAAAGGCTCTCCCTCATAATAGCCAAAAGAAGTGTGAATGTTCTTTATTCATTTTTTCTGGGTGTCTGTAGGCTTATATTTTTATGCCAAAAGTTTTACAGTACCCCAGAACCTAAAATAGTACACGTAAGTTGTACAACATCGTAACAGTTGAGAAGCATATTGGAAGACTGAAAATAATTATGGGTTTCAGAAATATGTATAGTAGTAGCATCATAATTGCATAAAAAGCTTTAATAAATTCAATAGAAATATAACTATATTCCAGTATTTGGAATTCATTGATCCTAGGAAATAGGGAAATTCCTATTTCCAGATCTTAAACTAGAGCCAGAGTAGCTAGGGTAGAAGAGATTAGTTCTACATCTTATATCATTTATTATGATAAATTTCAAGTACATAGAGCTGAAATTGGAATGTTATATTTATCAAAATTAGGAAAAGAAAGTTCTCATGAATTCAACAAATAGGAAAATTTATAGTAGACATAATAGATGGATTTGATTATGTAAAAAATAAAGGTTTTGTAAAACAAAAAGTAATGCATTTAGGATTTTAAAAACCCACAAGTTGTGGGAGAAGCTTTCCTGTAAATTCCTTACAGACTTCTGTCATACAAAATCTAGATTTGAAAAAGTAAGATCATAGATATAAAGCTTAAAAGAGGCCATAGAGTTCCTCTAATCCAACTCATTCATTTTATAGATGAAAGAACTGAGGACCAGAAAGTTTAGGTGATTTCCCCAAAGTCATAAATGTAGTAAATAACAGAGCTGGTATTTTAAATGAATTAAGATCCTATAACTTCAAGTTCAGCACTCACTACCTTCCATTCCTGTGTGGATGAGAAGTCAAAGGTATTTTCAATAACCACCTGAAAAAAATCATTCAAACTTTAATATTTGGATAAATGCAAATTAAAACAAACCAGAGGCACCGTTTTTTATATAGTATATTTTGATAGGTAAGAAACTGACAACAAGTATGCTATTTATTGTACAGTGGATAGATCTGTTAATTCAGGCCTGCACAACCTGTGGCCCATAGGCCGCTGATGGCCCTCAGGCCGCTTGCAGCATACATTTTAGTGGCCACGAAAAATGAAGAGGAAAACATCCTTTGTATATAGAGGAAATCCTTTGGCTGTAAGAGACCCATGGGCTGCAGGTTGTGCAGGCCTGTGTTAATTAATGAAGTCTTTTTGAAAAGAGATGCGGCAATATTTTGTATCTTCTTTGTTTCGTGTGTTGCCATAGCCCAAAAATTCACCACCAAGGTATCTGAGGTAGGAAAAGATACCAAGTGTCAAAAAAAGCCTCAGATCTTGAGATTCAACAAGGTATCAGTGAGGATGTGTCCTTTCTAGGTATGGGGGAAAATAGCCTATGCAAATCATAAGGAGAGCTGTAATATACAGGGAACAACTAACAGGTCAGTGTGTCTAGAGAATCCAACTGGAATAGAGAATGGGAAGGGAAGAGGGAATCAGTCGTGGAGGGATTCAAATGCCAAGCTTAGGATTTTGTTTTTTATCCTAGAGGTAATAGGGAACTAATAAAGATTTTTGAGCATGGAAAGTGACTGGACGTGGACAATGAATTGCTTACAAAAGTCAATAGAAAAAGGAGAAAGGGATAGGTTGCTTTAAAACTGTATTTTTGGATTATCTTTAAGATCTGTATTTTATGCATATAAATTTAGCAACTATATGGAAGATGGATTGGAGAGAGGAGACACTGGAAGCAATGAGATTTAGTGACTATTGCAATAGTTGATGTGAAAGGTAATATCATTTAAAACAAAGATACAGGCTATGTGAGTAGAGAGAGAGGAAACCAGAGGCAAGAGATGTTTTAGAGGTGGTTTATCAACAATACTTAGCTTATTAATTATGAAGGTAGAGGAAGAAGAAGGAATCTATGACTCCAGTTGTGAACCAAGGTGACTTAAGAAGATGATGGTGCCATTAGAATATTCATGCATCATAAGAAATGACAATTATGAAGAACACAAAGAAATATAGGAATACATATATGAAGCTGTGTAGAATGAAGAAGTCAGAATCACCATATGCATGAAATATCAGTAATGAAAAGATACACAGAATAAAAACAGAAAAAACACGGAAGTAAACAGAATGCCTTTGTGAATTATTTGGTTCAAGTTAATATGTACTTTTAAAACTAATTATAAATAATGGAGTTTATGGATTTTTATATGATCATTTTTCATTTTGCTTTTTTATTTGAATGTTTTTGTTGAAAATTGCAAAATTAAGAATTTTTAAATAGCTAAGGAAATTATGTTCCCTGTGATAAATAAGCAATCAGTTTCTTCTTGTGTGTTCTCATCCTTAAAATGTTTCCTTTTCTCCTCCAAAATGTCCTTTGATCAGTACATTGTAATGAAGTAGATGTGTCTCTGCAACTGAATATCAGTCACTTTTTCCTCTTACAAAATAATAATTTAGTTTTTGAATGAAATTATAACATTTAGAAATAAAAGCCAAAAAATGTACCATTCTAAGAAAATCTGGCTAGCAAATAGGTTAGAGAGATTTATATTTATAAAATTTTAAGTAATTTTTTTGTTGTTTAACAGAAAACAAGTATTCATACTCGGTTGGGAGTTATTTATAATCCTACATCAAAAATAAATGAAGCAAACACAGTTATTTCTAGAGGAATTTTGGCAGCTTTTCTTACACAGGAAAACAGCTATTTAAGAAGCTTTCTTAATAAACTGGCAAAAGAAGAAACTGCTGAAGCCTTGAACACTGGAGTAAAAATAAAGACATTTCTTCTCCCGGTCAGTAACTGCTTGTATAAAAACAAACATAATTGCCTGGTAATCATTTTGAATGTGTAAGTCAGTGAACTTTTATAATATTATTTTATTGGGAAATATTATTAAATACCATGATCAATAAAAAATGTAATATGCAGCCTAATCAAGTAAAAATTATATTGCTATTGTACTTAAGAAGATGATGGTGCCATTAGAATATTCATGCATCATAAGATTTGTTTAAAATTCTTTCAGGAATGAGACCCCTGATAGCTAAACTGTTGCCTCTTTACATATTTAGTAACACTAATAGTGTCCTTATTGAAATAGATGCTAAAGAGGAAATTTTGGAAGCAAAGGGTAGGAATTGACTATATCTAGAACATCCTCAATCACTTAATTGAAATGGATTGGTGGAGTGGAGAATAGCTACTCCAGTCTGCCCCTGTGGTACAGGAGCCTGAAGTCCCTTCTTAGAACTTCCCAAATGTCACACACTTGGTAGAAGTAAAACATTCGGTTCATAGAACATATCATGGGAAGGTACTTGAATCATAGCTGCATCCAGGTTAGAAGATTATAGCACCTCTAGGAATGTATTTACAGTCCCAGGTAATGTTATGTCCTTATCTTCTTTCTATGCCAATTGTAATATTTGGTGGAGTGATTGGAAGGATTTGCTAGACTCTGGAAATATAGGGCACAGTTCCTAGATTAAAGAATATACAACTCTCTTCCAAGGTATTAGAAAGTCCCTGAGACTGAGTAAAGCATTATTCACTATATCTGAGGAATGTCTGTAGTATTAATGTCAAGGCCACATAACTAATAAGTTTAAAAGCTGTGTCTTCCTACTCCTAAGTTCAGTGTTCTTTCTACTGAATAGAACATGCATTGTCTTGAAATGTACCTATTATCTTAGAATTCAAATAACTGAATCTATGAAATAAAAATCTGCTCTTGAAACTGATGTGATGGAAGAACATTTTTAATTTGAACATAATACTTGAATGACTAAAAGGTACGAACTTTACACTGAAAGCATCAATACTTATAGAAGTTCTTTGGCTTAAAAGTTATTAATAACTAAGACCTTTCATAATGATAGGGTTGTGGGCTTTAATTTTTAAAAGTCAGTAATTAATTTTATCATTTTTTCAGATAGTAAATGAAGGTTTATGTGGTACCTAAATTTTTTAGGGAAAATTTTGTTCCTTGATTTTTGGAATGGCCCATTATTAGTTTCATTATTCTTGGCTTCTGCTTCAGGGAATGGCTGAGAGTACCTTTGTAAAGAAGTACAATACCCTTGGAATGAATGTTTTCCAAACCCACAAATTGTTCTGTCAAGAAGTCCTCAAACTGCCTCCTGGGGAAAGAACTATTATCAGCAATGGGAGGGTAAGTAGTTATAGTACTTGAATTTTTTTTTCAAATGTAAACTATAGACCGTTGGTTTATATCATAAATTCTAGAACTAGTTAATTGTGTTGAATCTTTTTTTCTGCTAGCATCCTTACATACAATTTGCTATGTGTTAAATAATGAACAACACTTTTGTATGGATTTTTGGGTGTAAAGTATTATAAACTAAACAACGAAACTGATAGTGCCAGCTTTCTGTAAGAAAATACTTCTCAGAGAGTTAACAGAATTTAATGAAAGATTAATTTGCTTTTCCTTTTCTATGGAGAACAGACACTGTTTATGAACTTTGCATGATGAGGGATAGATAATTTTGATTCATTTTGTTAAGATTGACAAGAAACCCCATTAAATAAAGTTATCCTGAGAATATTTAAAAATAAAAACTGAAGGGCAGGCAACAGATAAAAGATAGAAAAGATCTATAAAGATTTTAATAACAAACCATTTTTTTACCACCAAGGGTAGTGGAGCCATCACATTTGTATTCAAACAGCAATAATTCTAGGTGGAGTGGAAGCTAGAGAAAACAAATATGGGAAAAGCAACTAGCCACAAGGTCTTATGACCCTATCCCCTATCCAAATCCAGCCTGCTATAGCTAAGAAGCTTGGGTGGGATGGAGTTGAGGGCAATTCCAAGTAGCAACTGGTAAAATATTTCAGCCAGGTACATCCTGTAAGCCTTGAAAATTAGGTATTTAGCATATTATAGGTTTTTTACTCTTACTCTTTTAAAACACCACTTTCAAAAAAAATCTAGTAATTGTTTGATAATTTCTCAGAGATAAGATTACCATTCTGGTATTAAATTGGGTTCATTTATTCCCACAATTTATATAATAGCTTTTAAATCAAGGTTGATTAATATTCCTATAGCAAAATTTGGGGTTGAGGTTTTCCCATGGGAACTCAGTAGTTCCTTTCCTATCTTACCCATCTCTATATTAATGATCAAAAATATGTAATGAGAATTTTTTTTCATGGATGAAGAAGAAAAAAATAAATTTGAAAGATTTTTTAAATGTGGATAGGACTTTTGTGTTATATCTAGTTTAAATTGAAAGACTTTTGGGTAAGAAATTTAAAGCATAAACATTAGTGATTTAAAATAAGACTACTCAATTTGAAGTAATACTCTAACTTTATTTAGTCACATCCTTTATGGTTTTTGAAAATATTGTTTGGGATTCCAAAGAAATTATTTCTTCCTTACATTGGAATTGGTATTTGGTACAATTAATAGTCATGGTCAAAGCTGTTTCCAAGCCTAACTTTTAACATAGTACAAAAACTCCTTGGTGCTAAAATGAAGAATGCTTTTTTAAAAATGTATTTTTGAATAGGAAAGCTAAAAAAGAATTATTTTTCTTCAAGATCCTAGGACCTCTGGGCGAAAATTATTTACATGCAGAAGATTTTCAGTTGTTGGAAAAAATAACATTAATTAACTCAGCAAAGAAGATTAAAGCCATTATTAAGGATATAGAAATCAACTCCAGACGGTAAACATTTTAATATTAGACCAAAATCAAGTTAAATTTGATCTTCTATATCTAATGCCTTCTCTATAAAGATATAACTATTGCATACCAGGTTTTATTTCTACTAAAACTGTCACTCAGGAAAAGTTATTAACTCACTATTTCAATTTTCCATTTAAGTTTCTTCATGTAATACCCATCTAGAAATAAATTTTGCCTTCAAACTTAGACATTACTCTATGAGGTACTGAATACATTAAAAGAAAAATTATGAAAATAGTAACATTTTTCCTAGATCAACAGACTCTTAAAGAGTTAGAAAGGATCTCATTGGTCATCTAGTCCAACCTGTACCTGACCAAGCATTTCCTCTACAACAATGTGGAGAAGATAAATTTTTGTGGAACTATGGAAAAGGTAAAAATGTTTAAAGCATATTGAGGGGCCAACCCAGAGCCATGAGTAGGAGAGATCTGATTTTACTATGGTTGAGTACCAGGCAACACCTCAGCCCACTTGTTTTTGTCCTATATGTCTTCTCCATCTCATGGTCAAACTCCTTGAGAAGGCCACTTACCCCACACTCACAGTCTATGGCCAAGTCTTGTCATTTCCATTTTCATAATCTCTCTAAAACATATCCTTATGTCTCTTCTCATATCCACTACCCAGGTGTAGGCCCAAGCTCCTTATACCTGGACTATTGCAATAGTCTTCTGGTTGGTCTCCCTGCCTCATCTCTCCTTATTCTAGTTCATCTTCCCTTTAGCTGCCATGGCGTTCTTCCTAAAGTAGAGGTTTTAGCATGTCCTAATACCCACACACACTGAATGCTAATGGAACCTCATTACCCTCAGGTTGAAATCTGTAACCCTCAGTTTGGCTTTTAAGGCTATACACAACCTAATTGCTTCTTTTCCAATCTTCTGCGTTTTACAGTTCTCTGTATACTCTATAATCCAGCAACAGTGGCCTTTCTGTTCCTTGCACACAATCATCAATCTCTTAATTTCATGCCTTTTCACTAGCTGACCCCCATGTCTAGAATGCCCTTTATTCTCATTTCTTCCTCTTGTCTTTCCTGGCCTTCTTCAGGATTCCTTTTAAATCTGACCTTCTGCAAGAAATTTTTTTGTTTTTGTTTTGTTTTGGTTTGTTTTTCTGGTTTCCTTGCTCTCCTCCTCTCAACATCACCCCTGCCTGCTAGTGCTTTCTCTATGGAATTAGCTCCCATTTATACTATCTTTTATACAGAGAGTTGTATACATGTTGTCTTCCTGACTGGAATGTGAGCTCCTTAAGGGAAGAGACCATGTTTTTGCTTTTTTAGTATATCCCCAGCACTTACCATTGCACCTGGCACATAGTAAGAACTTAATAAATGATATTTTACTGACTAGAGTCAGTAAGAAGCCGAGTAGGTATAGGAACTAAAATAAGAAATATATTTATTTTTCCCACCCTTTTTTAAGGGAGGGACTGAGAGAGGGAAAGAGGAAGTAAGGACCATCATAATAGACACAAATAGTCCAACAATACAGATTAGGGAAAGCAGTTCTAGAATTTGCTGAATTCATTGTTCCCTTTGGCCACTGAACATGGATTTATTGAGTGCCAGCTATATATAAAATATTATGTTGGGTTCTGTGAAGAAGAGAACAGTGTGTAAGATATAGTCTTTATTTTGAAGGAACTCCACAGTATTTGACAGCACAGCCTAAAAAGATCAGAAAGAGGGAAACAGGAGACTACTGCACTAGTTCATACATAAAGTGTTGAATGATTGTACTAGGACAGTAATCAGTGAGAGATGAAGAGAATGTGGTGAATCCTAGAGATATTGCAAACAAATACTGATAACATATTAGGTACAGGGGAAGAAAGAAAAAGAATATTAGAAAGTTTATGGGTTATATGATTGGAGGCTTCTTAGGTTAGCTTGCAGATTGTTAGACTTAAGAATCAGGAATCCCTGGATTTGACCTTCTCTTCTGTTGCTTAGTGGCTATATTTCTAGTCAAATAACAAATTCTATGAGCCTCATTTTAAAATGGGGACTATACTTGTCCCAGTTGTAAGATTCAAATGAGACAATTTATGCAAAGCACTTTGCAAACTTTAAAACCTCATATATACATATATGTATGTATATATAAATGATAATGATGATGACAATATTGATGATATTTTATTTAGCTGTGGGGGAATAGCTCCGTTCTCATTTGATCTCTATATCCATCTTCCTATTATTCTTCCTCCCTTGCCTTTTAGGCAGAAATGTAGATAAGTAGAGTAGAGTGAAATAAGAGAGGAAATATAGTTGAGGCTAGATTATGGAAGCAGTCAAATGCCAAGCTAAAGAATTTTTATTTTCAGGGCAGCTAGGTAGTGCAGTGGATAGAGCACTGGCCCTGAAGTCAGGAGGACCTAAGTTCAAATCCGGCCTCAGAGCAAATACTTGTGTGACCCTGGGCAAGTCACTTAACCCCAATTGCCTAAAAATTAAAAAAAATTTTAAAAAAAGAATTTTTATTTTTCCTATAAATAATAGAGAATGATTGAATGTTTTTAAGGGGAATTACTGACATAGCGAGATATATTTCTTAGTAAATTTATAGAATCACAGAATCTCAGAGTTGGAAGGCACTTCTAGTACTTTCCATATATAGGGTCATCTATCCCAATCCATTTATGACAAAGAATCCCCTCTACAACATCTTCAACAAGTATTTTTTCAGGAAATAATTCGAGACTTCCAAGAATGAGGAGCTTACCTTTTCCCAATGCAGCTACTTCCACTTTTTTTAAACTCTTATAGGTACAAAGGGTTTTTTTTCCCCACAACAGAATGAATTGTACTACTCTTCAATTTTGACCCCCTCCTCCAAGTTCTGCCTTCCAGGGCATAGCATAATAAAGCAAATAATTCTTCCATATAAAAGGCCTTTAAATATTTGACAGTTGTCATGGTCTCTCAAGTTTATTTTTTCCAGGCCAAACATCCTTATTCCTTCATTTGATCATTATCATTCAGTCCTACTTTGCAGCCTGGTACAGTAGGAAAAATGTTAGTCAATCAAGACCTCTGTTCAAATCCTACCTCAGACACTCCCTGTGTGACATTGGAGAAGTTACTTTAATTTTTCTGAGGCTTTTTTTCTTCATCTTACAATGGGGATAATAATGCCTGTCACATTTATCTCACAGGGCTATTATCAGGATCAAAGGAAATAATGTCTATAAAACAGTTTACAACACTTAAAGGCCTAAATACACATTAATTCTTATTACTACTCTTTAGACTGCCTCTAGTATGTCAATGTCCTTCCTAAAATGCAATGCCCAGAATTGAGCAGTGTTTCAGATGGACTGTACCAGTACAGAGTAGAGTAGGACCAACCTTTGCTTCTTTCTGCACATTAAGACTCTAGTCATAAAGCCAAGAACAAGTTAGATTTGTTGATCATCTGTTCACTCATGTTCAGTTGTCAATTCACAAGAACCTCCTTATTTTATATGAACTTTCGTCTTGCTGTTTCTCACCCCATCCTATATTTGCGTAGTTGATTTTGACAGTTGTGTGAAAGACATAAAGAAAAGAGAATGGAAGTGTGGAGAGACCAGTTATAAGGATTTCAAATAGTCCTAGTGGGAGGAGGTGAAGACCTAAACTAGTGTGGTGACAACGCAAGTAAAAAGAAGAGGACGGATATAGATATGGACGTGGATGGATAGAGAAATATGGATTTAGACTTGACGGGACTTAACAACTGACTGGATATGAAGGGAGGAGGAGAGCAGGCAGAGAGGGAGAAGGAAGAAAGAGCAGGAAGTCTTGTATAGAAGATCACTGCCTTTGAAATCAGAGCTGTTTTTCTAGATCCTTTTTTTGTGTTGTCTTCTCCCATTAGAATGTTACCTACTTGAGGATAAGAACTATCTTGCTTGTATTTGTTTTTCCAGCACTTAGCTGGAGTTCCTTGCACATAGTAAGAGCTCAATAAATGCTTTAGCTTGATATCTATCTAAATAGAAGAGGTGTATGGGTGTTCAGGAAAGATTAGTATCTCTGGGGTGAGGTCTGCCAAGCACTTTTTCAGGGCTGCTTTCCACCTTTGGTGTCCACCTGCCACTTAATTCTTACCTGTGGCTCCAAGAAGCTGTAGCATATGCAGTGGCCACACTCTGATGAACCATTTCTGCAGGCTAAACCAGGTTGAGGGTAACCAACAGGCCTCAAACCTGTCAGTGAGTTGGTGGGGAGAGTGTCTACCCCAAGCAAGTGAAGACTTCCCTGATGGAATAGGCAGATGTAAATGATTTGTTACAACACACTGTGAAGGCAAAGGAAACAGATGTTGTGAAGACCTTATATGTTGATTAGACATCAAAGGTGCCAAGCTCATCCACTGCATGCTGAGCCATTGAGAAATGTCTTGACTTCTGCCTCATCAGTGAACTCTGATGACTCTGGAAGAGAGAGAGAGGCCAATGACTTCATGCAGCTGTGCCCCACTTAAATCCAATTTATATATGAGTCAAAAGACATCACCCATACCATTTTACCGTTTTTACCTACCTCAAAGTCCATGGCAACAAGCAAGTAACAAAGCAGCAGGTGTGGACACATTGGGAGCTGTAGTCACAGTCTTGTATGCAGGTAGCCCAAATCGTAGGGTGGTCTTCTCACTGGGTTAAAATAGGAGTGAGATTTGGCAGTCTTTTTAAGGACTACACTGCTTACCTCCTGGTGTAAGGAAGGGGCTAGGAAAGGTGCTTTAAAAAATATTGCAGGAAAGGGCCATGCCACCATCATTAGTGCATATGCTCCCACCATAATAAATCCTGATGAGGCCAAAGAAAAATTTTATGACCCCCACCATCAGTGTGCTGAAAGAAGACAAGCTTGTAATTCCAGGTGACTTTGATGTCAGAGTAGGCAAAGATTATCAGACATGGCAGGGAGTCCTTGGGAGAAATGGAGTCGAAAGAGCAACACCAGTGGTCACTTACTACTGAAG